ATATATATATATCGGAAAAAAAAAACGTGAGATAACTTATATGAGGGGAGTGTGAATATAATTTCTCCTTGCGAGGGTGACTGTCGAACTCTATTCCGAGATTATTATATTTTTCTATTGACTGACTGACTACCTTTTGCAGTTCTTTTATATTTTGGCAATGAGGGTCCTCTTCTGAGGACCAATCAACACTCTTCAAGATTTGATAGGACCTATACTCGCACTTGTTTTCTTAAGATAAGATAGTAAGATAAGAGTCAGCGTAAGCCCTACTCTCGACACTACGAATCTAGATTTTATGTTAAGAATAAAAATTTGATTTTCTTAATTAACATCCTTATGCGAGGCGAAGTAATGATATATTCTAAATTTTAAATTGATTTTAATTTTATTGGGAAAAAAGAAAAAAAGAAAAAAAAAGGAAAAAAATAAAAATATTAATCCTCGCATTCGGGAAGATCTTAATAATATATATAATACTACTTAATATATGATACTACTTAATTATTAGGCATATATGCTATTGTTTAATAATTAGTTTTAGAAAAAGGGCCTTCAAAAAAAAAGATTGTAGAATAGATATTCTTTATCTATATGATGCATAAGGGTAAACGTGAGCTATTTTTTGGTTTGAATGTTTAAATAAAGGAACTAAATATGCCCTCCTAACAAAGGGAAAAGAATTTTACAATATATAAAAGATATGATAAAGTTTCGAAATAAAAATAAAATAGGAACAAAATACAATATCAAAACCGAAATATTAAACTAGAGATAAAATAAAGATAAAGTATAAATCATATATTTGTAATAAGAAAAGAGAGAATTTTATCGGGATGTAAAACCTCCCAATTAACCAAATCTTAATGAATAAATTATATAATAATGCGCTATTTATGCGATCTCAAAATCCGCAAAAAAATGTTTGCGCTCATTTCGTTTAGCTAAAAAAAATTTTTTGTGGGGGACTGAGTAAGCTTTTAGTCAGTCCCTCCACGTGTTAATAACAAGCGATTTAGAAAATCAAATACACAGGATTAATGCACCATTTGTGCGCTTTCATATTCACATAGTGTGCCTTCCAACAAGCGACACAGATGACACGATTTGACACAATGGATCATTATATCCTTGTTGTTTACCAATGTTACATAGCGTAATTTTGCAATTTTAAATGACTTAGGGATGAATACAGCTGTTTGCTCTAAAAGGGAAGTGCCTTATAAGGGATTCAGCCCAAAAATTGAAACTATGTGAATAAAAGCGCATAAATAATGCATTAACCCTGTATTTAATTTTTCAAATCGATTATTATTAACACATGGAGGGGGAGAAAAACTGACTGACAGTCTACTCAGCTTCCCACAAAAAAAATTTTTTTTTATAACTAAACAAAATAAGCGCAAACATTTTTTTGCACATTTTGAGAGCACATAAATAATTATTATACAATTTATTCATTAAAATTTGGTTAAGTGGGGAGGGGCAGTTAAACAAATGTTCAATATTATTAAATTGTTTGTCAATTTAATTTGTGATACACGATATTGTGATATGCTGTAGTTTTAATTTAGGAGTATGTTTCAAGATCGACAAATAAAATTCCAAACATTACTTCGGCAAACAGTTCTGACACTCGGTTTCTTTATCCTACACCGATCTGTCAAATTTAGAATCGTTTTCTCCTACATTGCTTGTACATTGTGCGTAAAAATATTAAAATTATAATATGAAAAATACGTTCAAAATAGAAAAAAAAAGTTATTTTTAGATCAGAGCCCATTATTTTGTGTATTATTCAATTTTTTTTTTGTGCTAGTTTGCAAGGTGCTAACATTATGCTAAAATACTACTTTTAACTCTTTCAGAATCTAAGTACGTTGTAATATACATCAAATTTGAATATATTATCCATTGAAATTATTTAGTTTAATTGATATCATTTGAGAGATATCAAGTGAACATAAAAATATCCGTGAAAGCCTAAAAAGCGTTTTGAATATAAAAATGTACATGTTAGAAAAATAATCAAAATAAAAAAAATGAATCTCTAGTATAGACAATAAATTATATTTAAAAAAATAATTAGCACAGCTTGCATAAAATGCAAATTGTAAAATTCATATAAAAATATTATATAAAAATCAACTTCGACCAAATAAAGCCTGTACTTCTTCGCTTATTAAATGTTGTAGTAAACTACTTTATGATTTCACAGTGTTGGTCCGTCCATTGGTTTCGTCCATTTGCAATATTTCACAAAAATGACTTAACTCTTTCAATTTTCGTTTTATACAATAGATATTTAAGGATTTTAACTCCATCGATGCAAAATCAAATCAATTGACTATAAAGAGGTTAAAGATCAAAGTCAATTTAGTAATATGAAATAAATTTAAAAAATTTAGAATGTTAATTTTAAGAGGTTGCAATATAACATAAAATATTACGATACTTTTAACGAAATTCTTCCAATAATTACAGGTTTTTCGCTACGTTTTGTTATATTCATTGCGAAGGATTTATCTGTATTGTCATTTTTTCACTTATTATTAATTAGTTATATTAATCAAAGCGCACGATACTCTTATATGAAACATAAAGATCTTTTACCTTAACTGTGCCGCGCAATCGTTGTGATAGGTTCCATGTCTGATCCACAAATAGACCGTTCTGTAATGCAAAGAGGAAATGAATTAAAAAACCTATTACAGAATGAAATTAATTAAGTAAATTAGAAAAATAAAATTAATCAGATTGTTTTCTAGATTTTTAAAGACTTCGTAGAATCAACAATATAATAAACAATTTTTAATGCATAATCTTTAAATGAATCTTTTTTTCTCAAATCTAAACTTTTCTTTAGATTAGAATATCTCAAAAACTTGATTTTACATTTTTAGGACCATATTCAAAACAATTCAATGGTAATCAAAATATTAAACCCAGAAATAATTTCGTTTACTTTAAAAATAGTGTTGATCAATGTTATTATTACTAACCTTATAAGAATAATAATTATAAAAACGAAGCTTCATAATTATTTTATCATTTACAATTTTATCAGTTACAAATATCATACAGTCACAAATATCAAGATTTTTCTTGATATTTGTAACTGCAACCAAGACTCTTCTTTAAGTATGTAATGTGTATAGTTCAATATAATATAAATTATAAATAAAGTCAAATTTATAAGAAGGGCTACGAGTCAGAAATACAAAAATAAAACAAAATAAGTTATAAAACTCTAAGTATTATAATACAAAAAGGTAAAAATAAATCATAAAAGAATCTATAAAGAGACCTCAGAAAGTAACCGTAACAGTTCAAGTTCATATAATTGTGTATAATGAAATTACACAGTTATACACATACTGTGCAATATATTATATTGTATAAATACCTTCTTATGTGAATTATCTTTAATTGAACACTTTCATTGAAAGAAGAAAAAATAATAACAGTCACTTATGAATTCCTATCTTATAATTGAGCAAATCAGAAGGAAGATGTGCAAAGACTATGTAGCGTCTCTCAACCAAGAGTAACTAAAACAGCAACATACTGCAACACAACAAAAGGAGACTAATAGAAAAGGAAGGAGCCCGATGGAAAGGGAAGAATAAACAAGAAGGGAAAAGAGACTGTATGATGTTCGAATATAATTCCGGCAATGAATCCGTATGATTTTGTTTATTAATTCCATGTTTTTGCCTTTTAATATGTATCATTTCCGAAATTAACCTCTTATTATAGGAAGGTTTTATATCCAAAATTTTCACATTGTCTCATTTAAAATTATCTCTTCTATATGATGATTAGAGATAATTGATGGAGACTTAGTTATTCTGTTAATGTCAGAAATGTGCTCATGCAATCGCGAATAAATTATAAAATATACCTAGTATGTTTATACACTATATTATTTCGCTAGATGATTGATGGATATAAAAATACGAGAAATAATAATCTAGAGAGAAAGACGCCGTCGCGTAAAGACGTGCACTCCGCTAAAGATGCTACCAAAAATAAACGCGCGCGTTTTAGTTAACGCGGACATTTGTGTATACGCGAAAGCATCTGCCTGCAGTCAATTATTTATTTCTGAAAGCGTTAACGGCGAAGGATAAACCGCTGATCAAAATTGTGAACAATGCCTAATGCCGGATGATATCGAAGTAATGCCCAAATAATGCTCAATTTTTATGCCCAGTTGTAATGTTCTAGTTACATAATTTCATATCGCTTATTATAATACACAATTCTCTCCAGTAATGCCCAGTAATGCCCCAAATTTGTACACAATGCCCTTAGCGGTTTACCGGTTAGGAACGACGGCGCAGCGCTTCAGGGAGAGTCATGGAGATTACGCTTGATCGCGGCTACATTTTAATCAAGTTGCGTATGTAAATCATGCTTTTAGCACCGGGAAATCGTCGCTTCTAGATAAGTGTTCGCACAGTTAAAAGTGCTCGTCGACCGAGAAAAAGCCACGAATCATTGTCGCCATCGACCGGCAATAATATAATGGGAAAGTTTAATGGCCGTCACTAGGAGTAACGTGCACCGTGTCGTAAGTGTAATAACAATTAACGACAGAAGGTAATAGGAACAGATGTCGACCGCGGGACTTGCGTACAACTAAGGCAAGCCACAGGGAATTGGGCGAGAGAATGGAGGCGGAGCAGCGGAGAACTTTTTGTTCTCTCACGAGTATGGGACATTTTGCAAAAAATTTATTTGTCAGTTTTTGTTAAAAACGCGTTATACACGCTGCGATGACTTAACTTAGATATAATGCATGTGTGTGTGTGTGTGTGTGTGTGTGTGTGTGGTGTGTGTGTGTGTGTGTGTGTGTGTGTGGTGTGTGTGTGTGTGTGTGTGTGTGTGTGTGTGTGTGTGTGATGCAAAAAGGAGAAATGTACAAATCAATAAATATAATTGCTTGACTTACATTTATGTTTTTATATACAAAGTAATATTATAGAAAAAGAAATAAAAGGAAAGGAAAAAATGAGATATGAAATGCAAGTTAAGCGTAAAAGAAAGATGTTAAAAGGAACAAAAAGCATTAAACTTATTCTTATGTGATATATAAATATATCCTTGCAAAAATTGTCTAGTTATCATTACGTCCAAACTAATCCCATTATATGTCTGAAAATCATAACACAGGGTTAGTTTACAAAAAAAGTGATATTTTTAAAGTGTTATTTCTCAATATATAAATTGTCAATACATAAATTGTTGCGTAACTGTCTTGCCACTAACGACACGACGTTGAGATGGATTGCTACAAGGTCGATCGATCGTTGCCACGTCAATGGATGACGAAGGAAATCGAAGCACAGGAATTCCACGTAATAAAAATTCTGTTTCTTCTTGGGCGAAGACATTTATTTGCGGCCAAAAATCCAGCGAATAGAGCAATCGTCAAAACTTATAGAGTTATTAACAATCGCTGAAAGAATTTTATTGATGACTATTTCGTGAAACTATACTTAGATAAGTGTGAATGTCATATCTCCAAAAATTCATTTTCTCGTTTACCACGACTGGCTACCCTTATCCCTCGATTCTACAAGTTGAACAGAATTCTGCGAATCGATCCGACAGTTATAGACGTATCAACACTATCGGCGCCCTGTCCGAATACTCAACATAAGTAGCGAAGTAAGTATGACCATTAAGTAAGAAAATAATATACTTTTATTAAATTATTGATTCAAAATTGATTTACCTATATCTTCTATCTGAAAAAATAAAATAACGATTTTTGTCCGAACTAACCCTTCCCTCCTTCCTCTTATTCTTACAAAACTTTGCTTTAACTGCATCTTATAATATTAATTTATTGAAAGTAACAATGTTAAAAATAAAAAAGTTTACTTAATATAACTGAGGAATTTTTTCGTAATCATGAAAGAAGCATTGTGTTAATATAATACAATGCATTTGACAGCGTAATAGCACTATTTTTAGTCAGGGAAATATTTCCGAAGGTCAGGTACTGATTACGTGCGACAGTCAAGCAAATATTGGTCAAGCACATACTGCGCCTAGTCAGCAATTAAGTTCTACACTACTGAAACTGGGTGTAGTAAGACACGTCACATTGCGTACAATGGATGAGAATTCAATGGCACATAATAATAGCAACGACAAAAATCAATGATGCATAATGCATATTTATCTTCATGTCATTTTGATCATATCGTTTTATCATCGTCCTAATTATATAATATTCTTCATGAATATTCGATTGAAGAAGGAATGATTCTCCTCACGAAAAAATAAATAAAGATATAGGATAAAATCGATAAAATTTAGAATAACATGAAAAATGCAGAATTTTTATTTTTATTTTTATACGAAACTGTATAACTAGTACTATTGGAACCGTAATTTTTTGTTTATATGTATTAGTAGAAAATCACTTTCACACCACAAATTCGCTAATGCATATATTTATAACAAATTAAGAATTTCTTTAGAATTTTTCAAAAATAATCAAATATAAGAAAGGGATTTTTTAAATTATTATTTTTCTCAAAAACAAAATGCATAAAAGAGATTTTATTTTATACATATATGTATATTATACTTAATATTATTCCATAAGGAATTACTTGTTACATTAATAACTCAGAGCGAAACTCGGAAACTGTCTGCATGCAAATTAAGAGAAAAATTATGCATGTTTTGCCCGTAATTATAAAAATTGAGAAGGATCCGAGAAAAATAAAATTCAAGACACGTCGTTATCATCGAGTGTACTTGAAACAAGTTCGTCGTACTATTTATCTCCGCGAGGGAAATAAATCGAGGTTTCTAACGGTCGAAGAAATTCCGAAACCCTTAATTAAACGAGTAGAGTAGACGGCTTTAAATTGTTGATTCGGAAATTTGCATTGTGTACGCTACGCGCACCAGGCAAAACGCTCGTTGTTCCTCTGGGGTAAACACCCGCTCAACGAATATACAACGGGAAAAGTGACGAGAAACGAGCGACGGTGTGCGTGCGGAAACCAGAATGGAGAAAGGTGCTGCGATCGGTGTTGGTGGAGAATATCGATCACGAAACATTTGCATGGAAATTTCTTGCGGCAGTGAACGTTGCCGGTTATATTTCTTTCCACAAGCGAAAACGATGATTTGACCCAATCGTCTAAGATATCGCTCGGCGAAGAATCGATTTCATCGAGCAGAAAATGCCCAATAGATAAAAATTAACTCTCTTATACAGGACCATGTTAAGAAAACATGTCTCTTTGCTAGAGGCTTGTGATTTTTGAGTGCCCCTCCCCCTCCCCTTTTCGACCCAACGACAATTTTTTTTTCCAATAGTAGTTTAGCATTATCCCTATTTTCATTATCAATATTCACATTGCACATTTCGCTTAATATAAAAGCGCTTAATATAATTTATACATAAACTCAATATGACAAGCATCATTTACAGTTAAAATCAGATGTTAAACTAATACATATATACGTATCTTAAATGAATTTATCTGAAAAATATGATTGCGTGCCGATTATTTTTGAATTTTTAACACAATCAATCTAAAATATTAACAATTCCCTTCAAATTCAATTAAAAGCATCTTAAAAAATTATTAATGCGAGAGAAAATGTACGATACATCATAAAATAAAATTTTTACAGAT